TCGGGAAGAACGCATCTGCTCGCCTCGTATTCGCGAAAAATTCTGTCGCGGAAAAATGCCGGCAGCTGCAAACCGCATCATCGTGTGGCACACGCCGAACGTTTATTAACTCTCGCACGGTGTACGATCGCGCGTTTTCACGCCTATTTCAATCTATATCTACACATTGGATCGCTGATAATTGTCCCTCTTTCGCGTATAATTACGCAAATTATCGCCGCCGCGCATCGGCAGAATGAGTGTAACCATAAAAATCACGGAAATTGTACATATTGAAAAATTATAGTGGGTAGGTTAAAAATACAGAAGATAGAGAAATTTATGCATTAAACGAAGAAAGATAATCAATAATTCCGATGTCTTTTAAAAATAAATTAGTTGAAATGTTTATATCTTGTAAACTTTTCTGGATATTATTATACTTTCCTGCGCCAATTTTGTAATATGTAGTGAGAGAGAGCGGAAAAAGGGAGAGAAAAAGAGAATGGTGAAAGTAGATCTCAAATGTTATAAAAAAAAAATAATAAATTGAGCTCTTTAAATCGACTGTTTTTACACATTAAAGCTGAAGTTGAAAAATGAAATTGACCCTTTTTGGAATTAAAAAAGTATGTATAGAAATATGTGTTAATTTAGTCTGGTAGTTTTAATGGGTTTCTTTACGAAATTAACGCGCAGCTAATAAGATGGGATCAGCGACCTTCGGAGCAATGTGAAATTCCCATTTTTGTTTTAATTTACGACTGACTCGTGATCGAACCAGTTTACCTGGTATAACTGACCTATACTTAACATGTTTGAGGGCTGTGGCACGCGTAAAGATGACTTTTGAGAGAAACATTTTCTGTCGCCTCATTTTCCTCAGGCGCATCGCCGACGGGTCGTCGAACTCTTCATGGTGCACTCTTCCGACTTGCGCTTACATCTCCAACCCCTTCTTTTCATTCATAGATCCTTCGTACCCTTTTAATTTCTCATCTTTGATCTACCTCCGTCTGCAGTTTCCTCTATCAGACTTTTCTTTGTTTTTCCCCACTTGTCTCGTTTTTTCCCCATACGTTATTTTCTCCATCGGTCGGTATCCTTGAGACGCCACGTTCGGTTCCTTTTCTTCTCGGTATAACCGTGAAAATATTTGACGTGTAATAAGACGTCGCGTCAAGTAGAAGCTAAGATCTTATTTAGCCTCGAGCGCTGGCCTGTTATTAAAGGAATGCTGAATTTAAGGGAAACGAAAGTGCTCGTTAGGTGATTACGCGCTGAAGACGTATCAAATTGGCATGTAATATCCTCCGCGGGGAAACATTTTCTTCGTCGTCCCGTCGCCTTGAAACTGGCGCATCTTCCCGAAGGATTGTAATTGATTTGTATCTGGAAAAAAACGCAATTTCGAGACACGTCATTCGCGGCCGCGCCTTGATGTCTTTATGTACAATAATTAAATCAGGTTAAAAATTACCTACGTTTATTTTTTAAAAGACTTTCTTATCTCGAATCACCGGTAGTCTCAATCGAGCCGTCGATGAATCATTTAAATGGCATCATGTGACGATAGTCGCGTTAGTGTTTTGGACTTTCCCAAGCTCACGTTTAAGTCAAGTACCGCACGTCAAACCCTCCTTATAGTGTGTGAACACGGCGGTCGCTACAATAACGCTGTTCGGTCCCTCGAAAACCGCGGCTCGTTCAGTCTCGATAAGTGCACTTGGAACGATCAATCGTTCACGCCTGTATCGGCGAAACTAGGAGATTTCCTTCATTCGAAAAGTTAAGCCGTTGCTTCGAACTCGGTCGAGCATGCCCGATAACATTCTAATAAATAGGAAATTTTGTTTCTCTTGCCGTACATAATTAACGTACGTAAATGCATCAAATACCGAAAATACCGAGAGACAGTAACTTTAACTAGCACCGTCAGTGTTTTCTTGACTGTACCTGGGCGTTTTTTAATAATACTGAAAATTTATTACGAAAAATCAGCCAGGGTATGAACCTGGGACCTCCCTACACTCTAGAGGCGGGCGTCTCACCAATTCGACCACCGATGCATATGATGATATTTTTCGCAATAACAGTATAAAGATATTGTCCACGCGTCTATTTCCCTGGCTGAGGTAATATTTTTCGCAATAAATTTTCTGCATTATTAATAATCGTCAGGTATGGTCAAGAAAACACCGACGTTGTTAATTATCGCTGACGACATTGAAGAATTCTTATTAGTTTAACTAGCACGGTCACCCTTCTATAATAATTTTTTCTACTCCAACTCTGTACGTTAGGCAATGTCCCGCTGTTGCGCAGCCGCGTTCCCTACTGTTTGGACAAATTCGATGCTATCTTCGAAAATCGCCTTCAATGTACCAAGACACGAATAAAGGAACGACAAGAGATCCGATCTCTTGACGTCGCCGATCGGAAAAGTCTCGACTGTTACGATTTTCTGAATAGATTCGAGCTTCGAACATCATTGATTTGCAGCGTCTATTCGTGGCATTTAGGTCTTACTTAATCGCAGAACGCCCGATACGTATCGGGTTTCGAAAATCCCTGATCTCCAGTCGCAACCTGGTTGACATGCGACAGGTATTTTCCGGACTCGATCGACCGCGGGTGTTTACTGCGAATTCAAATCGAAGGGAATATTTGAAGCCGAGGAGATTAGCGCGGTATTGAAACTCAGAATTTCGTAGTCGACTGTTCCCCCCGACGACTTCATTTCCATTCTTGTGAATCGATAAGCCGGAAGTCACAGAATTCGACAGACTCCGCGTACGGGTGTTTCTAATACTCCCATCGTAGCACGCTAAAGAATAATATTTCTACGTCCAGCGTTCTTGCCGGCGGGCGTTTTCCACCCAGTGTTTGCGCGCGGACGCAAAAGGGATTGTCACCCTGGCGAGGTAGGTCGAGCGCATTCGCGTGAGTTTTCGTGAATATCTATGCGATTCTTCATCGTCCAACTGAGAGTTTAAGGACGTGCCGACCGCGCGTGTTGGTTTATATACGGGTTATTTGAGGGCTGCCGAGAGGGCATTCTTAGGGCTGTTTCTCCGCTGTGTTCGTTGCACAATGTAACACTATCCCCCTTTGTAACAGCGCAGCCTTGGAGTGTCTTTGCGAAATCGAGCATGCTCGCCGCCCTGCATTATTTTTTCATGAATAATCCCGTTATGAGCATCTAAGAGGCCGGAACTTTAAGGTGGTGTTTCACTTTTGTTCGCGTGCGTATAGGAGACGCTCATCAGTGCAAATGCACAGATATTCTGTAATTTGTCTAGAATTGTACGAATTTATCGTAAATGGTCCCAATACAGCAACTCTACTTGCGTCGGATCGTTTGTTGGCACCCAAGTATTTCGGCACACGTTAGATATCATGGTTGCTCATTAATATTCATTGTCCCCCTCTCTTACAAAAGCGTTTGAAACCCACGGATTAGGGAAATTTATGTAGCATAGAACCCTACTCGATGCTCGTTATTTCCATTTTCGTCACAGCAGTTTTTCGCACGAATCGCCCGTAATTTTGGAACATGTGCTACATGTTTAACTGATGGGCCATTGTACGTGTGTATATTATTGGAACAATTCTCAAATTTGTATGAAAGTAATTATTTTACAAATCTAATTGGTTTCCTGAAGAAAAACCATGGATCTTTCAACTCGGAAATAGCTAATTTCGGTCACGCTCGCCTTCCGGACGACTTCCCATTGGAGCAGTGGCGAATGTACGCTGAATTTCGTTACAATCCAACGTTTTGCAGTAAGGGGTGTGTGTTTCGCGCTCACAATAAGTCCCTGAAGTGTCTTTAGCGCGTACAGTAGCGCGCCGTTCAATGGTCGGTGCTCACAAATGCGCAGCGGGGTGTCCGGGGCCTCTCTCGAGATTCGCCACTTCGATATGAATGTCGGCGATCGGGAGAAAAATTAATGTCTACCCCGTCACGGCTCCGGGCGAGCCCTCGCGGCCAATACTTTACCTCATAGGTCGGGACTTAATATGTTTATTGCTGTGAGAATGTCGGCCTCGGATAGGTAGTAGATTTTTATCTTCCAACGCGCCTTTTAACTCGTCTCTCGTAACATTCAACGGCGGCTGAAAAGCGTATCCGGATCCTCTCTCCGTTCGATTCAGCTTTCTAATGACTTTTCTTTCGGTGTCGCAATTTTTCATACCGCTCCGGCACATGGTTTGCCCGATATTTGTGGGACGTTAAATAGTCGCTTTTTACGTAAACGCCTAATTAACGACAGCGGGCGGAGTACAAATTAATTGCCTGATCATTTATTTATTTTTTGTCAATGGAACTAATTACCAAATAACTTTTTGCGAAATGTTGTTGTAACACGATACATGTATATGCAATAATATGTATATGTAATAAGATGAATGGAATACGTTATCATCATGCGAGTAAGTTACAAAACGTACATCTGCTACATGTTTCCTATTAATTGCATCAAATGAATATTCGAGCGCATTAATTGATATTAAATATTTTGTATGTTACTCAATATACAATATATTATTTCTTTGAGAGCGATTATTTGATTGCTTTGCTGGAAAAGAAATTCTGCAAGTCTTTTGCAATTCCAAAGTCGATAGTAGCATTAAATAGTTATAAATTTAACAGAAATGCAGTGAATAACTGGCGGCCAATTGTTTATTCTGAAAATAGAAAAATTATATATACATTTATTTCTTTTTTGTAAATAGTTCCATCGATAGAAACGGTCTCTATACAAGGTCTGCCTTGTGCAAGCTGAAGGCATCTGTTGAGTCAACGAAGAACTAAACTTAACAAGGGGTTAATAGTCTTTAAAGACTATACCCGATAAATAATAATTATAAATAATTAATTGATCATATTCTCATCTTTCTCACTTTTTTGTAGAAACATTCTTTAGAAACATTAGAGTTATATATTATAAAAATATATAATGAAAAATACATATATAAAACGTTATTTATTCGTTTATTTATCTTTTTTGATTTAGACAAAATGTCAAATCCAAACAAAAAATTCTGCCGACGATCAATCGCATTATCCATCAAAGAATGTTTGGGCGTTTGTGAGAAATATATCGAAATACCGATAGTCGACAATAAAGAGTCGAGGTAAATTATTCAGAACCGATGTGCTTGGTATATATTTTACTACGTTTATGATATATTCATTACTCTCAAGTAAGTTGACTTAAATGTCAACTCACGTTGCATCTATTAATTTATATGTCTTGCGTTATGATTCTCAGGAAGAATTTAATCACGCGCATTGAAGCTGCTACGCTGAAAATAATAGAACAAATATCTAGGGAACGGGCACCGTCTATATCATATTTTAGCGGTCAAAATATTCGTTTGAAATCCGACACACGCAAAAAGAACGTTTATTCAGAATGCTCAGCTCATTCTCAACAGACATCAACGTCTTCTTCCGATCACTTATCCGATTTTGCCCAAGAGAAAGATGCAGATAATGAAGATACTTCTCAAAATTCGGAAAAAACAAAACGGAAAACTGTCGATTTCGCGATGACAAGGAGCAGAAATAAATTTGTCTTAATGGTAGTAATAATGGCCGAGGCTCACCGTTTGCTGATATCAAACACAACCAAGACCAGACGCTCGTTTTATTACGATCTGAAGACTAAGACGACAACGAGTTATTTGGTACCTGATCAAACGTACGTCGATCGTGCATTAAATGAGGTCGCTAATTTACTAAAATGCGCGCCGTGGGATTTGGGTAAGTTTACTTAATATCAATTAAAAGTACACCTTGATGCGATGTAATAACAAATACTAAAAAGATGAAGAATATGAAACAAAAGTCGATAACTGGAAGTTCTTCCAGGATTGCTGGCAACGGCTAAAGGATTGGTGGCAGGAAACATGACCATCACGCTAGACGATCAAGTCATTGACTGTACGATACCGGGTGGCGTGCAGATTCCGCAAATTATTTCAAAAATAATTTCCATTCGTGTGAAAGCCAATTTTGTCTTGGTCATTGAGAAGGACGCGATCTTTCAAAAATTGCTCGAGGAAAATTGTCCTCGCGCCCTAAGTTGCATTTTAGTGACGGGAAAGGGTTATCCGGATGTAGGTACGAGGATGCTGGTGAAAATACTATCCGAGAAGATGGACTTACCGATTTACATCGTCGTAGACGCGGATCCCTTCGGCATAGACATTATGTTAATTTATCGGTAATTCAGCCAAAATTGCTTCGTCGTTCTGTATCAGACATTTTTCATATATCAAAGCAAGAGAATATAAATTTTCAAATTTTTGCGTTTTATCACAATTTTCCACAATACAAAAAGTGGAGACGTAATTTACACAATTTTACACAATTACGTATTGGTTTAACTTTTATGCGAAAAACATTCAATTTCTACATTTCTCTTACGCTGGATTTCCGCAGTTTCGGTTCATCGTCCCTCTATAGAGAAAACGAGACCTTGGCTTGTCCTAATGCACGTTGGCTTGGAATCCACCCCTCGGAACTGATTCCGTTAGGAGTGAAAACAATTCCGCTCACCAGAGCTGATCTTGCAAAATTGAGAACCATCGAAGCCCGGAATTACGTAAACGAAGATATGTCGAAGCAGCTGAATATATTGCAGAAGGGCAAGGCAGAAATAGAGGCGCTGTCCTCCTTCCCAAACAGTCTTACGGCAATGTATTTGTCTAATAAAGTACGTCGCAAAGATTATATTTAAAGCGTAAGACATAGTTAACAAGATTTTTCGAAACATTTAGTAAGAAAATAGTTGGAATTAAGTCTATAGGACTGCCATTATGTTCTCAATCAAAGGAAATATAAGAAAAAAAGAATTTTGGTTGGCGGTTTTATAACATAATACAAATATGTACTATATTACTTCAAATGACTTTTCGTTCTTTTTGGCGTTGTGCAATCCATGCTTCCGGTTGAACAACTTTTTCGGAGAAACTTTCGTTGTTATCCTCCAACGTTATAAGCTGCGGACTTTTATGAAACGAGCCCAGATATATAACACTACTGTTGGATGACCGTCTCGATGGGATGAGGGATTGAATCAAGTCTGTCGTTGTTTCTATCTCGCGAAGACTTTTCGAACGTGTCTGGTATGGATGTCCGTGCAGCCTTGAAAAATAAAATTTTGCGAGCGCCCTTCAAATAACGCTACACTATACACGGGGGGGGGGGGGAATTTTCTCTTAAATTGTACCCTGAAAATCATGTAATCGTGGGACAACGTGGCATTTTCAAGAGCTGTATGAGAGTTGTTTGAAATTTTACCGTACATTCTACTAATGAAATGTATACCAAGTATAATATTACTAGTAGAGTGTGTGGTTAAATTTCAATAAAACTCTCATAAAATTCTTTGCAATGCCCTGTTGTCCCACGGTTACATGATTTTCGGGATAAATTTGAAGAAAAATTCTCTCCGCGTAGAGAGGATACTTCAATAAAACTATATTTACCGATTCTCCGAACAATTGATGATTCCGTTCACTTGCTTTAAATTATTTGAGAAAATTATACGTTTCCTTTTCCTTGTTCGACGAGAAACCATGATTTCTCAAGTCTGCTGTAACGTCTCGACGTCTTGAATATTATGCGCTGCCAAATGTCATCCGTCAAAGATGCAATGTCGAGGAAGAATTAAGAATACTTCAGATAATGTAACAGTTTATTGAAAACACTTTATCCACCCGATGTCCGGGCCGAGCTTCGCTGATATTAAAAAACGCAGAATCTTAATAACATGATTATTTCGTGGATGTTACGTAGAAGGTAACTTGGATGACATCCGCGAAATCGGCGGCGCCACGTTATGAAACCACAAACGAAGTTAACTGCACTCGCTTTCGAAAATTCGATCGAGTTAGATCTCCGCGCTCTTTTGTCAATCTGTCGTTCCACAACAAAAGATTTGATAGTATCTTCGAATAAATTGCAATATATTATTATTAAATCACGATTAGACTGCGAACTATTGTAAATTTTGAAATAATATTATATTTCTGCTTTCTATTAAGCGCGTAAATTCAACAGTGAGATTCTTTGAAATAATTTATAAAGTTACCTTCTCTTCCGCTAAAAATATTCCTAAAAAAATCAAAAGTACAAATTAACCAATCCGCATTGTAGCTCCTGGAGATCTATCGCTTTTTTTTTCGACATTACCGTCGGTATATGCCACTGATTGGCCGATTTCGTGGGTGTTTTCGGTGTAGGTCCGTGCGAATATCGCCAAAAATCGAGTAGAAATAACTTTCCGTGCCCGTTCCGCGCTACGAATCGAAGGCGAATATCGATCGAGCAGCCCGACACCACTGATTCTCACGGAACGTGTATCGGGCATTTCGATGAAATGGATATAAAAAACAATCTTTCGAGACTCTGTACCTTTGCCGGACACACCGAGCGGGCACAGACGCGTTTGGAGTGCTACAAATCGTTGAAAAAGAGCGTCGCTCATCTTCAAGAGGTCAATTTGTAGACTCTCAGTCGCTAGCTGTCACTGATCGTCAAACGATGAAAAAATTTTAACAATTTTTCTGCCCATCCCATTCGAGTGTAGAGAAAAAGAGACAAATTTATAAATTATCTGAAATTCATCTCTCTCAACATCACAGATTCTCACGGATAAAGAATCGTAAAGTTATTTTCTCTGTGAGAAATCAGTGAGTGTATATACATATAACAGATTTTCAAAAATCTAAACTGCCGAGTTTAATCAACGCGTTTTGTTTGACGATTGTTCCGACGTATCGCTCGACCACATGCGACGAGTGTACTTGATTCACTTCAATTTATTCATGCGTTCGCACGGGCCCAATCCTTATATTGACTTTCGCGTGAGAAAGTTATCTGTTTCTTTTAATATATTGCGTGTATATGTGTGTATTTGCGTGTACCTTCATGTATGCCCATACGAGTGTAGTTTTCATTGTCTTTTACGTTTTTTTTTCTTTTTAGCGGCGATAATACGTTACCAAAAGCTATAGATACCCTTATGCGCTGCTACCAAGGTTTCTTTGTTGCGATTAATTTCATAATTCGCATGCTCGTGTGTTGCGTGCCTGCCTTCGTGATAATCTTTTTTTCCGATGCCCTATGCTTACGTTTAACGATTTGCCTCACTTTCTGCCGTTATTATATTTAATAATTGATTGTGATTTATACACGCACACATTCTCTCGCTCTCATTCGCTCTACCATTATTACTCCTTCTCCCCCTCCCCATCTATTTTTTCCCCTATACCTCACTCGCATTTCAGACTCCAATCGATCGATCAGTCACACACACACACACACACTCTCTCTCTCTCCCCCGCTTCTCGGGATCGAACAATTCGCGTTTCGATCGCTCGCGTTATATTTATTCGGGAATAAATGGAAGCGATATTGTTGACAACGAACATTTTGTTTCACTACAAACGACCATTCATTTATCGCGAAATGGAGGAATCCGGTTAAACCTAACGCTTGTCGCGTATTGTATTGTAACGTCGCACGTTAATTTAAGTTCGGAAGATTCATTGCAGCCGTACGATTTTCAATGTTTAACATCGAATGAGGGCGAAGGGAAATTGGAGCGAATCCTCTCTAATTGCAAGTGACGAATCCATTCGACGGGGATAATTTTTCGAAGCCTCCATTACGCGTTACATCTTTGTACTTTCTACAGTCGACAGCGGGCGCATCATCTCGACCTAACGACCCTTCGCATCTATAATACTTTTATCCTCGCAAAAATCGCTCTCGCGAAGTCTCCTCGGTCGCGATAGTTTGGCAATACTAGACCTCGTAGCGGTTCACAATACGCCCGAACCATAGCGATCATTCACGAGTATTTAATTCATTAAAATTATTAAGTTAATTTTCTCTTCTCTCCGTTTCTATTTATTATCGTTTGATTACTTGCACTAGCCTTGATTGTCGGCATTTAAGGGCTGCTGGTACGTGCAGCATACACATGGCGACGCGCGCCACTTCCTCATCTGAGCACGCCTCTTCTGTAATTAACATTCGGGCTCATAAATTATTTTATTTTCGAACTAGAAATGTATTGACATATATGGTCTCGAACGTTATCTGCGATCGAATCAAATTTTCATAGCGAAACTATTTTACGTTCATTAGTTCGAAAGGGTACTCTGTGATGCAATTCAGATAATCGAGGTATTGTCTCAATTTATAGTAAAATTGTCTATGAATATTCTAATATGCTAAATAAGTAAAAAAAAAATTAATAGAATTATAAATTAAACAACTCGTCCCTGCAGCGCGCAAGGGACGCGTAAAGGCGATAATTCTCGAAACTGTCGCGTTCCGATTTCGGTAATGTATGCAAAACGTATCGCGGAAACGTGGACGCTGCCGCAGATATTTCCGAGACGTTTACGAGCCCTGTTATTCTTCGACGACGTCGCGTTCATAAGGTTCCCGGGTGTTCGCTTTTGCAATAGTGGAGCAGCGAAATCGGTTATATGTGACAATAAGCGTACGATGTCCCGCCATATCTCGTCTTCCACTGTTCCACCTGAGAGAACGGCCAGCTAGCAAGTACTCGGGAGCCTCGACGTCGCGTGCCGATCGCGCCTGACCGATGATCGACGGCCTAGTCCTGACGATCGTAAGTAAATCGTCCGTTTAGCGCGGTCGTTCATCCATCCGGGCTCGATCGATGTATCTCGAAGAGGTATACAATGAGTCTGATACCCGGCACTTTCGACGAGATCCGAGCTCACACGTGTGCACCGACAAGCACATTTTCGTAAATCTTGTCGAAAATCGATTATATTTAAAAACAAGTGATATCGCTCCTCGCTATCTACGGATCACTCGCGATTTCTGCAGGCATCGGCGCGGGACCTCGTCGAAGGAGCTTGACACTTCACCTGGTTGTATATATATGTACAAATATTCAAAATTCAAACGGGCAGGGAGACGGGGGGAGGGGCGGGTCGAGATGGGGGGGGGGGAGTACTAAGAATCCGTGTGGAACAACTTCTTACGCGTGTAACATTATGATACATAGAACTAGGCGCCAAGCTGTACAACACAAAACTCACAGTAGCCGTCCGGATTCTATATATAATGGTAAATATATAATACGTCGATGCCTGTGGACGAACGTCACCGCATAGGCGTAGATACTTTTTCTCCGTTTAAAATCGGGGAGGCACCAGTGACGTAGCTAGAAAAAAAAAGGAGAACGTGTGAGACGGAAGCTTGCAAACTCTTTCCTTTGGACATACGTAACTCGATTCGAGAGACCTTAGGGTCCCTCTGGGATTCTCAGTGCCGCCGTAAAAGCGTCGCTCGCAGCCCGCAGAGCCGGTCCCTCGTATCGAGGCGTACATTCGAGTTATTCGAGGGCTGTGATTCGATAAATTCCGTCTGGAAAGTGGGAAACAATAAAAAGTGCAAGTTTGCAGACTCCCAATAAGCTCTGTACGTTGAAGTACGTTATATAATCCGTATTAATCTCGCCTTTAGTCGCTCGCTACGAAATCTCAGGCCTTTCCTACGTGAGCGCCTTTGGGACTTGGAACACAGCAAGACGTTAATGACGAGCTCGCAAACACTCGGCGTCGGTTTCACAATGTTGTCCCGATGGCGCTACGCGAACGACGCGGATTTGCAAAAGCCGTCGATAAGCTCCGCGTGTACAGTAATTCGGTCTGCGCCCTCGAACATGCGCCTCGTCTTCATCGTCCGTTTTTCTCGAAACTCGTCCGATATCGATTTCATGGCATGTACGCGCGTCTGTGCCTTCGGTACTTTCGCAACGCGTGCGTCGAACAAGCCGCTCCGCGTTGTCCGGTGAAAATTCACGACGTGCAATCGTCAACGTATTAAATTTGCGCGGGAAACGCGAGCGGCGCCGTTCGATGATGTACAAAAATTCTGTCAAGGCGATCCGTCGCTCCTCGTTTCGGTCGGTTATCCTTCGTGATTTCTGGATTCTCTCGCGGCCCGGCGACACACGTATCGCTAGATGCGCTTCCAGAGAGAAAAGTGAGTGGTTTCCTCGTAAAGGAATCTTTAGGCAAATGATATACATCATAACGATATTGCTACAAATGCCACTTTACTCTCACGGTTTTTCAGTTCTTTCTATCAATCTTCGTCTCTTTGCCGCATAAACTCGTACGTACGCGCGTCAAACGGCGTTTCCCCTTTTCGTCGTCTTCTCGGATAAACGATTGTTCTCGCTCTTTTCCCAACTAGCGGCCTGACTTATATCGCGATTCAGGCTCTAAACGAGGACCTCATCCCGTTTACGAGTGTAATTGCCGCGACCTCGAGGACGAGTCTCCGTATTAACGTCCGTTCTGGGTGTATCGGAAATAGACGCACTAGAGACAACAAAGGATTCTTCGGCTTGAGGCACTAGGAGGCATCCAGGGCGAGGCACTCGGCGAGGAAGTCCTCCATGGAACGATAAGCGTGTTCGAGCACACCCGTCAGGGCGTGATCTTCGTTCGCGTAACTCTGTTTCGCAAAAGCAAGCGGCAATTAGCTCGAGTATTGTTCGACGCACCTCTGCGGCGCTCGTTCTCGTTTTCTCACCTGATATCTAAAGATGACTCCCGCTTCGGACAAAGCCTTGGCGAAGGCAACGCCGTGCGTGTAAGGCGCTGTGAGGTCGGCTAGGCCATGAAGAAGATAAAGGCTGTGACTGGGCACCAATCTCGCCCGTTGCGTGAGATCAGCCTCCACGTAGCTCTTGTAGTTCTCAATTGGGGCACCGAGGACTCGTTCCGTAAACGCGGAATCTGTGGAATTGACGAAAGGGATCGGTTAGTACTGCGTCGACGAGGTATTTCGAGCGGAGGGAAAAGAATCGGAACGCGCTTTTTGCCAAATTTGTGCGCTTACTGTAGTACGTCCAGTCGGCGATTGGATTCACCGCGACGCCGCACTTGAAAACATTCTCCTGGCTACCGAGGACCATAGCGGTGACGTATCCACCGTAACCCCATCCCCATACGCCGACTCTGGTGACGTCGAGATACTTGTGCGTCTTCAAAAGGTGTCGCAGCACGGTGAGCTGATCCTGCACCTCGACGCCGCCTATCTTCCTGAAGAGATCCTTCTTTCCCTGACCACGGGCGCCGCGTACGTCCAGTCTCACGTAGACCACGTCGTTGTGACTCGACATATACGTTCCCCAATCTATTCGGAACTTGTCCGTGACGGCCTCGCTGCCGGGACGGCCGTTCACCTCGACGAGCACGGGAAACGCCGCGTCCCTGAGCTCCTCCCGCCACGAGGGGGGCAACAGCAGTTGCACTTGAGCCCGCCAGCCTTGAGGTAGCGGCACCTGCCAATTTCCAGTTGTACCGTCAATTTAAGGTCAATCGAGATTGAGACGGAATCGGGACAACTTTAAACGCCCACCTCGAAGTTTCGCCTGGTAGGCAGTGCCAGCTCTGACAACTTTTCCGCGCGTTGAAGCCTCGTGTCGTACAGCACGCGTATCATCTTATGCGTCGACATCATATGCACGCCGGCAAGTGGCAGGCCGGGACCCTCGCAGTACAGTACGTAGTAACCCTGCGTGTCGTTGTTCACCGACGGACTGACCGAAGCACCGAAGTGTGTGCAATTCGTGTAATAGAACCTGCAGCGTCCGAAAAATTCGCTCGTTAACTTAACACAACCGAGAATCAATTATACATCGGTCTATTTTTCTTTCTCATAAAACTTGCCTACTGCTCCAAAGAACGTCTCCGAGGTCACATGTCACGCACAGTGGCTCGAAGTGACGCGGATCGTCCGCGGCGGGGTCGCGTACCACGTAGAGATGTCTCTGGCCAGGTATCTTCTCTCTGGTGCCTAGATAGTACACGAGATGCGCCTTGGTGTCCCACGCCAAGATCTCGCTCACCTGTTTCAGAGAGCACTCGTGCGATTAAATTTTCTTCCTCTCTCCTTTACTCTTACGTTATTTTCTATCGCTATATTTTATACATTATTCTTTACAAGTCTACAATAATTCGCAATTAGATTTCAGAGTGGAATTCAATTTACAGTTTTATAGTACACATGCCATGTACTTCGATAAACGCGTATATCCTGAGTTTGAAAACTTTTTTTTATACTGTATGGCACATAAAATAATAATCGTCGTCTAAAGTGAGTCTTTATGACTTACGATATATCGATTCTAAAAGCTGCTCACCTCGTAACGACCATGGGAAAGCACCGCTATTCTTTGTTGCGTGAGTGTGACGTGTTTTATATGCGTGAAATGTTCCTTGTCACCCTCCTGCACCGTGGCCAACAGCAGGAAGCTGTCGCCGTCCGGAGCGAAGAGAGGATGCGGTTGGGCATCCAGCCACAGTCCTTCGGGCGCCCGTTCCGAGTGGGTCTCCTCACATTCCCACGTGGGAGCGCGGCAAGCCGACACCATGGATAGATTTTGCATCCTTGTCATCCAAACGACGGCGATCTGCGAAGCGTCTTCGCCAACCCAGCCGGCCGATATCAGATAGTAATCTCTGAAAATATCCGCGAGAACGAATCTCGTTAACATCGAGTCGTCAACGAGCGTGGCAATGTCTTATGCTGTCGTACAATCGTGTAATACTAAGTTGACGTTCTTTAGAAATTATTATTTCGCATTAGGGAACAAGAATTCTTCAATAATTTCACGTACTGTCCGTCCAAGAACAGCGGCGGTTTCAGTCTCATTTTAGTGGGCCACGTGACGTTCCCGGTGCTACTGTTGTAATTTGTCGAGCTCACGTTCCCAAGTTCCATTACCCATAGTTCGACCTCCGGATTGGGCCAACCGGGTCTCGGGTACCTGACTGATCTTGAAGGTGGAAAAGATTTGGACGCACCCCGGGGATTCGGACCGGTTCCGTCTTGACCCGGCGTATTGAACCAAGGGAACTCCAACGCGCTCACTTTGGTGTCATTGAACGTGGCATAGAGGATATGCGTGCCGTCTGGACTCGGCCAGATCGCTTGCGGTTTCGGTAGCACCTCCTCCTGATACAACCAGTCTGGCACGCCGTTGTAGATCACTTCAGGTACGCCCGTGTCGGTCAAGCGGGTGTCCTCCGTCGAGGTGGGCCCCAGTCTAAGAAAAATGTCGTTCTCGGAGATCAACAGGATACTGGTCGTGTTGCCCAACCAGGTCGCATATTGCAATCGCGTCTGATGCCTGAGTATCGATCCTTGTAGGCGAAGGGGTGTATGATGGCTGGCAAATAAAGGATCGTAAAGACGAATGTACAATTCAAGTTACATTTAGTGATTTCAGTTTGTATCCCGCTCTGTTTCTTTTAACCCAAGTATATTCTTAGAGGCGCATTCGATGCAAAGAACAGCAATTGAAGGATTCAAATAAACGAGAGAAAGAAAGAGGGAACAAAAATTCATAAATTAATATTCATATATTTATGTCGATTGTTTAAATACACTTACTCGTTCGTGACATCGTAAACGGTGTAAAGTGCGGTGAAGGTGTTCCGGAAGACCTGCAAAATCATCGACATCTGTATCATACGAAATAGACAAGGATCGGAAAAAAGAGAGCTCGTGCAAGAGGCGAATGTGTTTTCGATAGCGATAATCGACAGATAACTGCAACTAAATTGCGCCGCGTCGTATCACACGTCCGAGCGTTATCGATAAGCGACGGATCAGGAAGTTAGGATGCAGCTGCCGCGCGAAAAACTTTCCCCGAGAGACTTCCGCGCGTTTAAGCTACTTACCGGCTTGACATTGTGCTTGAACAATACATAACGTAGGTCGGAGCTGCATTCGTAGCCCTGAACGTTCAGTTGTCTCTGAAAGCAACATTTAATAAAGATTACTTTCTGTGCGATCTCGAGCAGAATCCGGTCTCAATGTTACAATTAAGTTTGAGAGTCAATTGCCGTTAAAAGCTTTATCTTTAAAAGAATGCTTTTATCTTGTCGCGAAAAATATCTTTTCAATCTTTTAATCCGTTCACACACATATACAGATGAATTTTCGTTCTGGTGCAATATCAATAATTTCCTATGCACGCAGATTGTATTTGATTTATATATCTTGTAAATCGTCATTTTTAAATGACGATTTAAAAGAGAGAGAGAGATTTCTTTGAAATTAATGTTTAATATCCAATATCCACGTTTTTGTAAAACTTATTCTACTTGCGATTTAAATGTTGAAAAAAACGGATCTAAATTAAGAGATAAAATGTTCTCATATGTACATACATACATAAAAGAGGAGTTGTTTTATTATTAACATACATCGCGCACGAACACCTGCGTTCTGACTCGAGCTCGCCTCCGCTTCGTGTTTTTTCCTTTTTTAAACCGCGGGGTAATTTTATCTCGTTTCCAAAGTTTAATAGGTTTGCAATGATCGTTTGCAATTATAATTGGTTTTATTGAGATTGGTGGCGTTGCAGGCTCGTCGCGTTTACCTTCGAGCTCAAGTCGTGGTAGCGTCGTGCGAATAGATATTACACGAATATCGCGGCTGGTAGTCGATACTCGTATCTGAAAGAGCGCCGGGACAAGCCGGACGCGGCGTGTCCTGGTGGACGCCAGATCGGATCAATGCGCCGTATACACTCGTCTATATGTACATCGCCTCTCGGTCCGAGAGGGAAAAAGAACGCGGATTTGGAACCTGTCCAGACTAAGTGGATCGGATCTCTTGCGCACGCATACTTATCGCGCTACCGACATCGATCACTCCCTCTCTCTCTTTCTCTCGTTATAAGCCGCTTCCCTCCTCGTTTCTCTCTTTTTTTCCTCTCATTACCCATGTCGGGACCCGCTATGGAAGCATCTTTCATTTTTTCCCGATTCCCCTACATTTCCGTTAATTTTTATCACAACATCGTTGCATCTCGTTCCTCGTGGAACGCGTTAGAATTCTCGAAATGATATGATTAAGCGAGAACGCGTTTAATCGTCGCTTCTTCCCGCCCCGAGCTAGTATCTATCGTAATCGAAATGCCTCGAGATACAGATGGTATCATTGAACCCGGAGCGCAATATCGCAGTATCTAGAATACCTCATATTTACCCCGCGCGTGCCTGCAGCCCCGGGTAAACCGTGGGATGCCCCGGATTCCATTTTATATGCGGTCTAGTCTTTGTTTCGCAACGCGCCGCGAGGCACACTCGGCTAGTTTGCCGATCGGTGGAACAAAACTGACTTTCGATAAAGGGTTCGGCTTATATCCTATATCCTATAAAAATTTTCTCCATATAGGAGAAACGTTCGGGAACATTGTTTCGCTGTTTATCTTAATTGCAAATCTACCGAGAGAGCTCGAAAGGCAGCGAGTGTAAGCTGATAAAGCTTACTATTTTGCGTAAAAAATACATGTCTTTTTGTATCCTCGAACGAACTTACCCCTCGAGGGAACTTTAAGCTATTGCACAGGAACAATTATTCACTTGAGCTCGGTGGTACACATTTATCCCTATTCGCCTGTTGCCTTTCCTACGCTCGCTTACGCAACAATGAAGAAGCTAAATCATAAATGGCTCAAAATTATTAACTATTCTCTGGCTGAGAGATTACGCGTTGAAAACTTTACAGTTCATAAGTCTACCCCGCTATTAGTCCCGTGGCGAGCAAAAAGAGGGAGAGAGAGAGCTCGCATATTTACTTCTTCCTCCTCTTCCGCGATCAATTCCTTTTCGTATTTCTTCATTTTCGCATTTGCACGTGCCGTAGGGATATATCTGCACTTAGGCAGTTGGCGCGTAATTATCTAGCGAGTGCGAGGGGTCATGTCTCCAATTAATCCTGGATAAGCGCGACAATAGCTCGGTATCGGCGGATTAGATACCAAGGGAGCTAAGATACCTCGGTGCATCACTAATGCGGATATTCCTGCCCTGGCTGGTGATTTAGGGCTCCGCCGAAATCTGACGGAAATAACGGTCTGCACTTGGCCGAGTGGCTCGGATCCGGCGGAGGATTATTATCCGGTCATGAATGAATTTGGCATCCGTTTCCAAAAATTCGGCAACTCGTTCGCTCGAATATTTCCATTCGCAATGTGTGTCAATCGACTTTATTTGGCATGACATTCCAAATAGGATTTGTTTAATATAACGCGAACTAATTAACCTATATATATACTCGTATATATATATAAATGGAATTTATTCTTTAAGTAAATATATATATATTTACTCTAGGCAGTGTGTCGGCAACTCCTTCGAATAACATTTAATATTTAATATTTGATTTTGACGGCGATAAAAATAATTCGGCACGAGATGTCATGAATATTCAGAAGTCCAAATTAATGATAAATTTCAAATTTGCCCAATCTACTGAAGTTATACACAGGGTGTTATGTAATACCCGTCTCACCTCTTCTTTGCGGATAGAGTGGGCCAGACTGATTGTGAGTCGAAAAGTCCACTACTATTTTGCAATTTTCGCAACAATTCAATAACTCGTTAACTATGCGAAATTGCAAAATGGTAGAGACCTTTTCGACTCATTGTCAGTCTAGTCCGCTCTATCCGTAAATAAGAGGTGAGGCGGGTATTACAGAACACCCTGTATATTAGCCATCTCATCCTATAAGTCTTACGGAGTTTCGCGCGCGCGCGTTTGTTGTATAATTTAAAAACGGAATTAGTTTCCGCATAATTAACTGCCTAACAATTGCGCAATCATCTCGCGGAAGTTTTATCGTCAAGAACGCTAATTAGCAACAACTCACCGTTAGTTAATTAAATCATGAATCCGAATTATAATTTGAGCGCTCTGTAGATTCCAAAATTTGTACGTTTAGATTAAATATTGACTCGTTGCTTATAATTTAGTTATTCAATGACGAGTATAGATTTGATATTGAATATTTTATGTCGTAATCATTCCTTTCGTCAAGATTGCGCGTTTATAAAACATCGGAACGAAATGCAAGCAACCAAAGTTAAGTCATACTAATGATTTTTTAACAAGCTTGTTAATAAATAATAATTCTCGAGTTTCCCCGGGAAGGTTTCAAGTTTCCTGTGCTCCGCCTTTTAAATTCCCATCCTTAAAGTGACTTTAATCTCCTAATCCCTTACCGTCGCGTTAGAGCGCAACAATACTTTCTTTCTTCATAAATAATTCTTCCAATCCCTCGATCCACGGAGCCCCCTTTCTCTTAAATAACTCCAATTATTTTCTTCTCCTTACATCTATCCATTCTGTACAGTTTATACCATTTAGTGTTTAATGGAAACGAGAAAAAATTCTTAACCACATAGAAGTTCATCTTCTGGTTTTTAAATCGTATTACAAGTCTATCCTTAGATGTTTATTTCGGAGGCTCTGTCACGAGACAAATTTATAATCGATGAAACTTATCGTCACGCTACGAGGTCATAATCTCAGTTGTTTGTACAAAATTTACGACGAATATAATGTCATTGGCAAAGTTTATCGTTATGCGAGTAACATCAAAGTGCAAAGAACGCTGTATGTATACGTACAAGCGTGTGATTAGAGACTAAAAGGGTCACAGCGTTGTTGCGGGTGTCCAGGAGGGTGAGGGAACCATCGTCGGCTTGGTAGACGAACTTTTCGTGGGTTATCCAGGTCGGTGGCAACCTGTGCGGTGTCAGGTCATCACGAAGGCACTCGTCTAACGTAAGACGCCTGCCACTCCAGTACAGAAGCTCGTCGACGTACCTGTAATCATCAAATCAAAGGGAAAACTTTAAGTACGAGCTTTTTCAAACACTTCCAAAAAACGGATCGAAACTATTTGTTAGCCTTGACTATAAAAGATACAGCACTTAAGATTAATGTATCTTGTGTTATCAGCGAAAAAGAGTTTTATCTTCTTCTCTCCTCTTTTCTTACGTATCTGAACGAATTGCGAGGAACAGATTACTGAAAGTTAAAATAAAAGGGAAACAAAGAGAGCAAGCGACGCGAACTCACCCGAGGAGATAAATTGCCGTGACGATGCCAGCGATAACGAAACCGATGACTAGTAGTGAGAAAATTATGCTCCGCCAGTTGTGGCCGCCATCCCCGTACGTTAAATCCTGTGGAAGAAGACAACGTCGTACGTAATTATCGGTTGATCCGTGAGATCGATCGGTAAGCTATAGTGCAGAAGCGGATTGATACAAGAGAGCATGCAGATTATATGAATAGAGAGAGAGAGAGAGAGAGAGAGGTCCAGAGGATAATTAGGAAGATTTAATAACAATGGAAAACGAGCGATCAACTTCACTCTAAAGATTCTGTGGAGTATCTACACATCTCCAAAGTATTTCACTCGTAAATATACATGTAAAAGATGCACACGTGTATATGCATAAAACAATGTATATGGAGAGGTAATATCATAACCACACACGTATAATATTTTAAGAGACAACGTATTATAAAGATAAATTGTACACGTACACATATATAGAATACGTATTGTATCATAGTAAATGAAAATGACATTTTCATTATTGCCCTACAATTTTTTTCATTTTGGAGCGAAATCACGTGCGATTTTAATATATTAAGAAAGAAACGCGTCGTCACACATTCCCGCGGTATTTCAATTTCATTTTCTTCATTTATTAAAATTACACAATTTCGCCGCTATCGGGACATGAAATTTGGGACCGACAGTAAATTAATTTACGTAAATATTCCTCCTTCATTAAAAAGAAGATAAGTTTTATTGTTGAAATAAATTGGATTTAATGCGCTGCAGTAGCTTATATTTATATCGAAATTAATTTGAAATGCGCAAGGGGAACGGTGTGTCCGGCGTGCATTCATTTCATAATAAATTAAATATTTCGCGACATTTTCGTCCACACGTGGCGTTCGTCGCTCATTCTTCATACGGCATACAACTTGTCGTTGCGTGCGTATGCATCGTTTCGCCATTCGCATATTGCCGCACTATATCTCAGAATTGGCGATCATTTTCTACGATAATCACAATTAGCAAGTATCAATTCAGGCGACTAATTATCTCCCGCAATTAACGATTCACAATTGTACCGGGGCCATTTATCGAGGCACATGTTTTGAGTCAATTATCCGTCTAAAATGGAGCGGTCGGAAATGGGAATTATTAAGTATTGTTTTGATTGCAACATTTAGGTGAGACAATTATTTAGTAACGCTATCTTTCATATTTGATTGCGCTTTGAATTTTTCATCAATCTAGATATAATTTGACCGTCGTTTTCGGGTGGAGAGCGCGGAATAATATACGAAACGCCGGATCGTGTGATTCGAGTAAGTAAAAGCCGAAAAAGCCGTATATGTACTCCGGGATAATTCGCCGAGAAAGAAAGGAAGCAAGAAGGGAAGAGAGACTCCATTTCGCGCGCCCGCCGATGTAAGCCCGCGTACAGCTTTTTTCCGACTCGACGTAATTTCTTTTGAGAAAACCATTTGTTCAGACCTCCCTTACTACTCGCGAAACTCGCCCGGCCTTATCGGACTTCGAAATTCGCGCTAAAGCTTCCAGGGGAATTTTTCTTCACAATAAAATCACGGTACGATCTCCGTCGTAATGAAAATGCGCGCGACGTTTAGTCGCGACGTACTATCGACCTCTCTCGCTCGATCCCTTGTTAAAGAATTAACGCGCCCGTTATTCATCTAACGAGAGAGAGACGTTCCTCGCGAAAATATCGTCTTGCCGTTTACAGGAACGGGTTTTATTCTCGTAGATCATAAAAGCGTTTTTGGGGTCGCGACGTTCGATCGTGCCGCCGTCAAGAATATCGCGGTTTTCGGTCGCTCTCACGGACTACGTCACCGGCTGCGTTATGCATATTGCATACGAGTTATGTCCAGCGCTTGTATAGTCGTCCTCCTGTTCACCGGCACCGGACCGGATAACACGTGCGGGTCATGTAATACAGATGAGTCGCGCCGGATTTCGTAGGAGGCGTCAGCTATACGGTGTGCGGGTCGTTATGTACCTGTTAGAACCGCCCCGCACGTGTTCCCGCACGCGAATTTGCCCTCGCTTTAGGCAAACGCGAGAAGCGACATTTGTCTTCGGTGCTTTCGGAGATCGGGCGTGCGTTGTCGTTTCTCAAGAGGAATGAGTCGACGAACGCCTGCTTCACGCGAATAATTAAGCTACACATTGAGATTTTCCCAATCGATTCTGTAACAACAGTCGTTTAACCCTTTCAAGCCTACATCTTTTTTATTGAACCATTTCTTGTGAAACTTTGTATACGAGGGTTTTTGGGGTCGCTGACTACGAATCCGTTATCGGCCCCGAAAAGCCCTTTGTACGAAGCTTGTACGAAGAAATAATCTTAAAAAACTTGGTAGATAATGAATTTTTTCGAAAAAATTACTGTTTCATATTTATTTATTTATAACACTTTTTTAATGTTTATTTATTGCTAAGATACTCGAAAAATGCAAAAAACCCAACCTAAATGCGTTAACTAGAAATTAAATGGCCGAAAAGTAAAGGAGCTGAGGTGGTAACGTGGGTTACCAGCATGCTTCAAAGGGTTAATTCAAAAATTGATACAACCGTGATAACTATTTTTTGCACCTGCGTGTTAACATTTGTATAGCTCGCGATGTAACAAAGTAGTCTCGGTTGTGCCACACAAATGTCATAACTGCGTCCTGTTGCTCGAAATAAACGTTAGCCTCGGTGTTTGGAAAATAAACGTAAGAGAGTGCCGTTTCTCTCTCTCTCTCTCGCTCTCTCTCTTTCTCTCTCTTTTTCTCTTGACTACGCGCCATTAGCGATGCAAGGGATCCCGGCCTGTGAGAGATAGTTTAAAACGATTTATCTCCTCTAAATAATCCCCGTTTTATCTCGAATATCGCCGATAATGATGTTGCTCCGAACGAGACAAACGATCGACCGCCGCCGTCGATTGGCTGACGTTATGCCGCGCGGTAATCGCTTGTGGACGACTCGACCTGTTTATCGCGATAAATAATCGCCGATGTCTCGTTCGAACGATTCGCCATTTCCTCCCTCGCACTTTTCTTCCCACCCCTTGATCGATTCGCCACCTCTTTGAATTCAAAACGCACCGCGTCGCGTGCACGTGTGCCGCACGAGATACACAGGGTGGCCATAAATTCGCCATCCCCCCCCCCCTACCCCCGTAACGCGACAGCATCGGACTTTGCGAGTTGATATCTACATTGCGAGGTGTTGCACGGTGCAGACATTATTTCGCGAAGATTCACGCGCCGCTTTATACGGCAATAACGCAAGCGGCGGAGGTAGAACATTCAATTTTTATCACCCCCGCGCAAGTTTCATACTTGAAATATTATTCCGCGATGCGAAATCGGAGCGGACGGCTCGGGCTATAAATTGCTCGCTGTATGAATGCGTTAACAATTTTGATGCAGACTTTCTATGTAAGGGTCGTACAATATATATACATACGTGATTGCGACATAATAATCGTGTCGCAAGCGTAAGAAAAGGTCGAGGTAGTCTTGGATGACGAACGATATTGGAGCTGGTTTCTAACGTTTTTTCATTTTCTTGCTGAGCAATGACATTTGCTTGGCCATCTGTGCCCGCTTTCGTTTATGAGAAGCGTTTATGGGAAGCGACTCCCACATTGAATTAAATAATACGATGCCGCTCGCGTGTGGTACTAACGTTTATTGGTTTTGTATTTTATTCTTCTCGCAGTCTTCATCGCGTCGCGCGAAGATTGAAAAATCTTACGAGGGGAGAGAAAGTTGGAACTAAAATACAAAGATGTATAAAAAAAAATTGTCTTTTACAGAACGATCGTCTGCGGAAAATTCAAATAAAAGGAAAGATTATTTGATGTCGAATTTTGCTGGATATGTCAGAATTTAAGATTCGTCTCAGCTGCACATTTATCTCATTTTTCTCGAAATTTGACACGTTAATTTCAGGTGGACGCAGTTAAAGAAAATTAATCTTTGTCGGGGTGAATGTTTAATTAAAAGATAAGAGACCTATTTGCTGCGGACATTCTGCACCGTTTGTGTGACGCGCTGCGTTACGGAAAGTGGAAAGCAGTACGGATGTGTTGCGATATTACCGCTTTTAAAATATACCACCGTGCTGTAAACGCGCGCCTTTACGCGACTGTCCTGGTGCGATGCCGAGAAACAAATACATACGTTTGAATAAAATCTTTGTCGATTGTCAATTGAGCACCGGCGGAGAACAATTTTTAGATACGCTGGAGGAACCTTCAATATTTTTCCACCCCAACCGTTTTAGCGTTGATTTTTTTCCGTTTTTAATCGCTCGCGTTTGTTTCGCAGCCAGCTGGCGAACGGCCAAGCGTTACGAGGCGGTCTGTTCATTAAAATTTTTTGCAAAACTTATCGCGAGTCCATCCTCACATATGTTACTCTCGTAAAAAAAAATGCTGCCTTCCAGAAGCATTAAATGAAATAAATTTTATTGCGATGTTAAACAAGTCGAAAAGCGCTCGTTACGACGATAACAATACCGCAACCTTTCAGGCGCGATTAATTCGTACTCCGTCATCGGCGCGATGAGTCCGTCCAACAAGTATTCGAGATAGTCGGACGAAATATGCCTGGGCTCTGTGCACGTCGTGCCGAGCGAATACAATAGGGATTAATTCAAAGGAAATATCTACAGCGATCGCGTGGTAATCCGACATGACGGTTTTCGAGTATATTCCACCACGGCGTGTAGTGAACTGCAATGGCGTAATAGGTAAGGTCGTCATGCACACGGATGCATCGGCACATTGCGTTCGTTGCCGCACGTGTTCGCGGTCACGTTGCATGCGTTCGGCTTATTTTCGTCGATTTACGAAGAACGTCACTGACAAGAGCGAGTTCACTCGTTTGCCCTATATTGAATTTCAACGATAGATTTTAGATCGTCGGTCCCAACGTTTTCTCCCCGATGTGTTCGTGAAGTGTAGGAACATTTAAGTTTTTGCGCTTGTAATTCTTTTTATCGAAAATGCCAATATCCTTTTAACTAGACTTCCGAACCGAGTGTTTTAAGTATGAAAATGTTCTGCTATGCGGTCCGCAACTTATCCTGGTATTATTTTGTTCATAAAAGCCAATAAAAAGAATTACAAGCGCAAAAACTATATTTGACTGTGCCGGTAAAAAGGATGGCTGAAGGATCCTCTTTAACTGCCTTTTTTCCCAGAGTGGAGTGAAGTCTGTTTAGTGGAAAATTCATTATTAGATCGTGCGTTTTTAATCGTCGCGAAAAAAGATTTGCGAAATTGGACGTTGAAAAACCTGCTATCTCATATTAGGAGCTTATCTTATACTAAGGGGCTTTCCTCTAATTTGTAAAAATATAAGTGTAATGCGCGATATGATACACGTGTAGAAAACTGACGGTAAACGAAGTAAACTTTAACGCATCGTGTATCAATAGGTATACAGTATTCCTGATCAAACGATAACATTTGCCTCTTTCTTTTTCGACAGGTTGCCAGTGACAGTGACGAAATTGATCGCCGATGACGAAGTTTCGTGAAACGGTGAGTTTCTCTCAACATTTGCTGCGGCGCGTCATCCCTAATGACTAATTGCGCCCAACTGAGCCGCTTCTGAAAATTTAATACGCCGCGGTGCGGTTTTCTCGTTTCGAATCCGGTGCGCTTTGTCATCGGATAACTAAGCACACGGTCACGAAACGCGATCGTTATTACAGCTCCAATAATGCCACGCGATACCATCGCCGACTACCGTTTCGCGATTCGCGTTTCCAATAGTAGACCGTGCGCGCGAATATACGCCGCCGTGCAATTTCATGTAAAATTGCTTGGCGCTATATCGAACGAAGCTGCGTTAAGCCACGATCGAGAGAATTCGTCGCGCTACCGTGGAGCACGTTATTAATCGACTGGTGCACGGAGTTGGACCTCTGGAGATCTGACGGCGAGCGATTGACGCCGTGAAACAATGCAGCTATCGCGGAACGCGCTCGTAGAAGCGGGAAAATTGGGCCACGGCATGGCACACCGTGAGAATCCGATGGCACCTGTCGGCGCCAGACTAACCCCGCGAACGTCGCTTTCACACGGCAGAAGTGCTCCGCGTTTACGCGCGTTTAGGTCTACTGTTCTCGCGGAAGTAATTTACGACGTGCCCGGCCGCCCGTCTTTTAAACGCCCTTTAAACCCGAGCTCCCGCAGAGCGATCGCTTCGCAGTCCGCTCCGATCGCGATACGTTCGAGCGAGACCGAAACTAGCTGGGCCGTCGAGCGAAGTCTCAACTGTTAAAGCGACAAAGCCGTGATTGCTTATCTTCCGAGACACTGGCGGAAGTCATGGCTGCTCCTCCCTCCGTCGTTCACCGAGAGAAAAATCCAGGCTTGTTTCGTCACGAACAATCGCCGGCACTGCGCACCATCGTCGTTATTTCGGGGCTCAATGGTGCGGCACAAGTCACCGTTTCACCCGACACCAATAATTAATTCATCCGTTCAAGAGGCACAGATGCGCCTCGGCCTGACTGCCGGGCGCGTGTCAGCCAAGTATTTCAGCCTATCCGCCGCCCACCTTCCGGCTCTCTCCCTTCCCTGCGTTCCTCCTCTATGTCCGCGCCTACACGTACATCTCTATACATTTAAGCTGGTAAACACGCGCGCACATGCACACGCGTCGTTGCGCCACGTGTCAAAATATCGCGCGGCCGATCGCCGGCTGAAGTCACTCGCGCGGATCGATCCGCGCCCCGCGGAAACGATCGGGCGATAACGCGCGGACGATACCGATCGGCGCGCGGTGTCCACGCCAACATAATTTCTACGCGCTCGTCGACGAGGCTGGCCCGCTCTCCGGAACTATCGGCGACCGACTGGACGCGCCGTGCCCACGCTTCGTGGACGTGATTTTCTTGAGGGCGGAGAGAGACGCCTCTCTATCTCCCCCGGCGCTCTGCTCTTTTTGCCGTGCTCGGACAGGAAGTTCAAAGGGGTAGCACACGTACGCGAGGCCGCCTCACGTACGATCCTCTCTCGGGGTCACGGGATCAGTCGTGCAAAAGGGCCGATAATCGAGCGTAAGCAAGCCGCGCGCCGATAACGCGTTTGACTGCTTTTAACGCGGCAAAATTCCCTCTGCCGGGCCTCGGGGTAGAGGCTTTTTTTTCACCCGCGATTTCGCACGGCACGGACGGGAGGACAACTCGCCTCGAAAATCAGGCGAGATGCCCGTACGCGAAACGGGCATTAATTCCCACGCCCGGTTGGAAATAATTCCGCGAGTGAGTTTCGACGCGACGACAAATGGGGGGGGGACGAAGCGGTTTCGGGATGCGGCGCCCGGCGCCTACCCGAGAAATGGGAACCGCGTCGTCGGAAGTCAAACGCGAACCCGAGGATTTCTACGTGCCGGGGCCGCGATGCAACAACAAGTCCGGGAAATGGGTTCGCGCTGAACTTGCGAAACTGCAGCCAGTTTCGATGCGGTGCGGTACCTCCTCCTCGGGGTCCGTAATGATTTTCCGCGCCGCGCGTCCGTTCAAATTAAAGGGACGCCGAGCGTACGTACGCTGGCCGTTAAACCGTTATTCCCTCGTTTTCGCTCCCCTGAGAATTTATCGCCGCTTCTTCGGAACGAATACACGTTGATAGAGATCTACACGGGGCATCGCGTTAAAGTGGATCCAAGCCCCATCCACACTCATTAAAGTGAGGTCCGTTCATTCGTGTTCCTTCGCTTCATTCGCTTCCATCCGTGGGAGCCCGTGCAACGTCCTACGTACCGCAGAAGCGATGAATACCGCTATCGATCGCCAAGTGTTTCGGTCGTCGTCGTCTTCGTCGTCGGATAAAGCCAGCGCGTGCTCCGAGTGTCGAGTGACATTTAACTCTTTCGCTGGAAATTTACCGAGGGTCCCCCGGCTGACTCCTAGGACGCCAATGTCGCGCGCGCGACTCGGACACCGGCGGTCACCGGTACGGCGGCAACGAGTTAACGGCATTGTTGGTCTCGTGGCGGCGCATTGTGTGCCCGGGACCGTGTGTGCGTGTCGTCCCACGTGCATATCGAGGAGAGCGGAACGTAGCGAGCGCGTACTCGGCTTTCCGTTCTTCCAGACACCAACCCCCGGCCCATCCATCGGCCTCGGCGCGTTATCGGATGGCCCGATAATCGAGTTACTCGAGGTTCGTGTGCGTCGCCGGCCAACAGAAGCTTTTCCCGATTCCGTCCTCGGAATCTCCCTGTTCCTCGTGATTCTCTCTTCCCATTTTCTGTCCGCCGACGCGGCGGGTGATAAATCTGTTTACGCTCGTAGGTATCGACTGGACACACCGCACACACGAAAATCGCGTACGAATGAGAGGAGCAGGGCAAACCGATCGATCGTGCGAGACGTGCTGCGTGTGCTGTTAAAAATGGTGGGAAAGGTCGACCGGCTGAATCCAGTTGCGCGATTAGTCGAGTTAGTTTCGGCGTTGATGAGTTTCCCCGTTGGCTTATCAATTAGGAAGCTTTTTGTATCGCGGGCGGTTTAATTCCGTCACAATCCTTTGAACTTTGCGAGAAATCTTTAGACGGCGTTAAGTATGAATTATTTATGGCTCTTTTCGATGAAAGAGCTTGTGGATTCGAGCTCTCGGTCGTCAAAGAACAAACCGTGTCAGTTGAAAGATACTTGTGACGGCTTGTTCCTTCAATCGACTCGGAGTCAGAAGCTGGTAAAAGTCAAAGGTGAGCAAAAGACAAGCAGACACGGTTCGTGGGATCTCACTGATGGCTCTGCTAATGGCTCGATGCAGTGTAAGGGCGACAGCCGCGTCGTTAACGTTCAGTTTGTGTAAAACATTGATCTCTCGCGTGAATTCACTCGGTCGAAATCCTCGAGCAACAATTCGAACAGAAGGGACACGAGGGAAAACAGCTGATTTTTCACAACGTCTCCGATAAGCGGATATAATTGAGGCAACACGCGCGGGCGAGAATAAAAGCGTAATAAAAGGCGGCTACCGCCTGTTTGTATACTTTGCTACGGTTTTCGCAAAAATAAAGACGTCGGGATCGCAGCGTTTGTTCTGGACGGTCGGTCAATTTAAATATAATTAAGCCACTTCCTCCGTCGGAACGCGGAGACGGGCGAAACTTTAGCGACACTTTCCGTAAACTCGGCAAGTGCTCGTGAAGCAGAACGAAAGAGCCGTCTGGCTGGCTGGGAAAAGCCGCTTTACGTAACAAGGCGGGGCGGTGCGTCGTGGAGACACGCGTGCGAATTGTTCGGCTTCATAAACACCGGATACACTCTCGTCGCGTATAAATGACGTTATTATCACTTTCCTCGCGGCACAACGGCTTGATTGATGGCCGCAATTAATTGTCGCGTTATTCCGTGGCCTATCCGAGTTTATACGGACTTACACGCGTTATTGCACGGCTTGTTTTTACACACGCTCGAGGGAACGTTGACGTCGAGTTAATGAGACGTTAGCCGTTTATCTAAACGGCTTGCCAAGAGCGTTCTTTCATATTCCGTCGGCGGACAGGCAGCGAGCGTAATTGACGCTTTTGTCAACGTGGGCGTCAATTTAAAGTTGAGGTATCGATCGGTGGGTCCAAACGTTGTAGGAATGTCGCGGAATAATTGTAAATTGAGCCCTTTTGCCGAAAGGCCCGAGCAAACAAGCAGCTTCCGGCTGCCTTGTGGAGATTTCAACGAGATCTCTCTACCAGATCGGCAATGTTCCCGTGGAGAGGCCGGGCTTTTCGCGAGAGAGAGAGCGCTGAATATTTACAAAAATCGTGCAACGTGAATACCTAATGTCTACTCGCGATAGTTTGCTGGGCTAATTACCGCGTCGGGAACGAGACTCGTTGTACCGAGTTATATTCGTAGTTTATACGCGACGTAACTACGCAATTTGAATGTATTACTCTGAGTGGTCACTAATGCTGCTATCGACACTTAACGCAAGTAATTCTACCACTTTGCGAGCACGTGCGCCTGCGAGGGGCTTAATCGCCGTACGATCCAACATTCAAACCTAACATTACCGTCTATGTAGGACGATATGCACAAAATGCAACACACATATGCAATCGTGACGCCTTAACATCAATTAATGAGGGGCGTACGAATCCCGTTTTCGAAAATGCAGAAATAATTCAGTCGCATTTAAATTGCCTCGAGTAGTATTTGAAGCTAGAAGTTCTTGAGAAGCCCTGAAAGTTTCGAATGTCTTCAAGTGCCGGAGAGTTCTAGGAAATTTTTTCTTAGAAGTGCTCGAATATTTAAAACGCTTGAAATTTTTATATACAGAATCGTTATCTCCGTGTATCAAATAATAACGGGTTAAGATAATAGTGTGAACTATTATGAAAGAAAACTATTAAAATTATTGTTTAAAATGTTAAATAATTTCCTACGTGTTTCCATATTTTTTCATAACGATTTATATTGTTATTTTACCCCATTATTTTTTATACACTTGTAGATAATAAGTATTAGACAAGAAAATAATGCAGCATACTCTGGGAAAAAAGGAGAGCAACCCGTTTTGGGGCCCACAATTAGTAATCGAATTATTTGGATTGTTCGTAAAGCGTAAAGCCCCAAAATGGGTTGCAAACTTTTTTTCCCCAGAGTACCATTGTCATATCTACGTCTATATTAGACACATTGTTAATTCAAAGACGTGTAGACGGGGCTATCTCGTCTAGTTCATCTACTTAAAGGGTGATATTCATAAGAGACAGAGAGAGAGAGAGAGAAGGAGACTAACAAGACTTGATATGCATTCACAGAGATTTGTCATTATGTGTCTAAACTAAAACAGTAACACCGACCAGTCACTAACATCAATCGTGTACATCTTTTCTACGTTTTCCAATCTAACAAGTAACCGCAAATGTTATCGCACAATACGAATTATTAACGCAAACGCTCGCGAATTAATAACCGGTATCGACTTCCATCGATCGTACACCTACATGCATTTAAACCTGATCGTATAATCGACGAGAAACGCTCGATTAGGATAGGGACCACTTGGTGAGCCGGCTGAGCGATTTACCTCTTTTACCTGAGCTGACTTTGAACGGGGATCGGCGACCTGGACGGTCTCATCGGGAGGCAGCCGCCAGGAGTTCCTCTCGACGTTAACGCTGGCGTTCATAGCGGCCTCCTCCTCCGCCTCCCGTGTCCTTCGTCGGTCTCAGCCACTTCGTCCTCGCGCGATCGCTTCCCCGAGGTCCCCAGGGTAACCCCCGGGCCACTCCTGGGGCCGAGGTTTTATTACGCCAATCCACAGTTCTTCACCTGAAAAACGAAAAGCGAGACCTAATAAATTTCTGCGGTAAAATACGGCGCAAAGCGGCAGAGAGATGTGCATTTGGCCAATCGAGCGGCAAAATTACCGAATGGGCTGATGAAAGCTGATGAATATTGAATTGGGGGAGATGGAATATCGAAGGATGACAGGAAGGTAAAAGGAGATAAAGAAGATGGGTTGTAAGCTCATCGCAGAAGCCGGGGGAATGGAACTCAATCTGAGCTTCGGCCTAGGAGTTAAGCACAGTATACAGAGGTAACGGTAAATTGAAGCCGCGAGCAAATTTTGTCGGTACTAAGCTGAATTACACGCGTTTCACTGTGCAGATACGTATATATTCGCGAGTAAAACCACAAGAAGGAATTAAAAATTGTTCAAGACAATCAAACGACTATAGCCGTGCAATTCAATTGAATTTCCTTTTATTCGCGGTGTATATCGCGAACGTTAGCCGTTCGACGATCGTTTCGACGCTCGACATCGTAATTTTTCCGGAAAAATTTAATATCCGCGCGATACGATTAGTCAATGCTCCGA